CTCCTAAACAGCCGCTCCATTTCGGTGGGTGGCCGAATACCCACAGATGAACTGGTCCAATTGATGGGATTTGGCATATATTGCGAAAGGGGTAACTTGATTGCACGATATATATATATATATATCTTTACAGATACGGCACCAAAATAACTATGAGTGAACGAAAAAATATAGATAAAACAGCGGGGAAAATAAAACAGTCAACTCCGAGTAGTGACATTTTGTTTGTCTGTTTACTGCACACCATTTTGAGTTTCTTTTCGTTTTTCTTTATTGTTGGGATTGCAAACAGGAGAGGATACACTTGCGCCACTGACTTCGGTTCGATGTCATATCCCGCAGTTTGTTCAGCCAAAGATAATCTGAATCTTTCGGGCCCCAGCCGGGGAGCCGGGAAACCCGAATAGATGCCAAATCCGAGCACAACCGCTTTAACCCTCTGCGCCACGTCATAACCTGCCCACCTCGCTCGCTGTTTCTTCCAGCCCGGGGATCGAATATCTGCGAATAGTGCACAGTGTGGCAGACGGTGCTCAGGTATTCATAGGGACGTGCCCTAGTCACCTCAGACGATGCAGTGAAATTATTTTTGAGCCAGTAACCTGTTGCACGTGCAGATAAAAACCTGATTCGGCTGTGTTAGCTGTCAGGTTGATGGACAAGTTTCGGTGGTGCTTATTTTTGTTATTTGTAGAAAGATGGACGAAGTCAACACGAACAGTCCATTCATGGTAATTGCTAATTGTCAGTTTCCATTGTATTTTGTTTAACTTTAGTATGTAGCTGAAAAAATGGAGTGAACCTTTTTCCGCAAACGAACTGTGCAACACTGTGTTGCTATGTTTTTTATTCAACTTCATATGGGGAAAAGTTTGTTTCAATGTCGTCAAAAAGTGGCTCCCGTCTCTCCAGTCTGTCAATAAGATCAAAATCGACCAGTATGGAATACCCAAGGGAAAGATTGTACAGAAAATCAATGTACGGTTACCTGTACACGTGATTAATGCGGTGCCTGGTTGGGATTAAATGGTGAATTTCGTTGTGTGAGGAGCAAACGAGGCGTGGAACTGAGAAACTAAGAAGCACTGGACAGCGGCGGCCTTGACCGAGTCGAGTCCCATCAGCAGTGCAAATCCATCGATCCCATTGGGAATTGAAAGGAGACCCTAAGCACACTACTGGATTCGTACTGCACGGATGAGACCCGACCAGGTCGAAGTATTTGTCCAGTGGTGTTAGCCAGCTTTTCAGTTCAAACTTTATTTGATCTATACACGTCGAAGTTCACCAGCTGAGTATGCAAACAGTTTGGATATACGTAAAATCCACCAAATGAAGATTAAAGTATCGAACAACGTGGGCTTTGATCTTTTCCATTTGAAATCATCTCGATATTTTTGTAAAATGCACGAAAAAATCAGACAACACTTTCCCAATACAACCGGCACTCACCTCAAGTGGACAATCCGCGGAAAACCGATCGGGTAGAAGTTGTCTTTTAGCCTGTAACAAGGTACAAATGCGTTCCATATCCGTCTCGAATGGCAGCAACAATTCGAGAAAGATGAGACCCAGTGAGAAGATGTCCACCTTGCGATCGTATCGTTCGTGTCGCTCCTCCACGGATCCGCAGGAAAAAGGGCGAGGAAAACGCGCGGGGGACAGAGAGAAATTCATAAGATGTAGAAACACAAAGCATGGTAAAGTCAGTTTCATCATTC